GATTTTTATGGCCTTACGGCTACTAATCAAATTACAAAAATTAATTGAATTTCTACATAACACAATAACCTTCTGTAAGTACGGGTAGAGGAAATCCCGGGGCAAAATACCTCTAAAAACTTAAATCAGTCAAAGGGAGAAATAAAGTTTATAACCTGTTTATTGCTTACGAACTGCAGTCCAGGGATATCTTTCTCCTCTGCTCCAGAGGAAGCCAGCAAGCAAGCAAGCCAGCCCCTCCCTTTAAACTCTCAGGTTCAGACACACCCTCAGTTGCCCAGGTAATTACCCATTGATATGGAGATGAACTTCTGTCCACCCCTGAGGATATGCAAATGAACCAAAGCCAGGCGAGATATTCTGGAAATGTTAGTTTTACCCATAGGCCACCCCTCCAGAAATCTCACCTGACAATCTACTCTTTCTCCTTCTTCTGCAATGATCCCTGGATGAGAAAACTTGGAGCATTGTGACCAGACTAATGACATAACAATGGCAACAGCATAGAATCATGACAATCCTCAAGAGGAGGCTTCAGCAAGGTTCAAAGTCTTATGCACATTAAGTCCACAGCTTGTCCATTCCATAGGCAGGCAGTAGCTGAGGGTTCAGAGCAATCATCATGCAGCAGTTGCAGCCAGGGGGCACATTCAGGCCACAAGGACTATAGGAGAAAATAACCTTAAGGGCGATAAGATACATGCTTCAATGATACCAGCATAGGCAAATCTTGTCCATCAGGTAGGATACATACAAGAGAGTTGTCTTGTGATAAAATGGTGGCAGGAATGGGATCTCATCCTGGTCTAGTATACCAGACTTTCACCCCCCTCCCGGTGGGAGCTACAGATGGATCGATATATAGGGCTATGGGAGGTACATGCACTGGCCATAACGATAAAACAAAACTTCCTCACAAAATGCTCTTACCTCCTGGATGTTTTGGTACATTACCATGACCTTCAAGGGCCATTCAGCTGTTACTCCAGGAATACACATGAGGCCATTTTCCAGGCTTTCCCCCAAGGTGCCAGAAGGACCAGCCATCGCTGGTCCATGTGTCGAAATGTCCAGGGCCAGGTCCATTCAATAGTGTCTCCAGGGCTTAATGCAGTAGGGGCTGGCAACAGGATGTTGCTCTGCTGGCCATATCCTGGCTTCAATAACTCTTCTTTGGTTTGGAGTTACAACTGTGTAGGAGAGGCAGCAAGGTATCAGGTAGGATACATACAAGAGAGCATATCCATGGGACTGAAAGCTCCTTTACATGGCTTCTCATTCAAACGCCGCAGCACTGTCCATAGGCGAACTAACCAACCCTGCAGGCTATTGTTGTCCACCCTGAGGCCAGATTTCAACAAACTGTTTTACCTTTCTATCATGCCTGCTCCAGTAGGATTATATGGTACATGAAATTTCCACTTTATTCCTAACTGCTGCACCCATTGTTGTAACGCATGTCCAGTAAAGCGGGTGCCTTGATGGCTTTCAATCACCTGCGACTGGCCATAAGCTGCAAAGAGATGCTTCAGGCCCCTCTTGGTGGTTTGCTGATCTGCATGACGTGCAGGAAAAGCAACCAATAGTCCAATAGCTGTGTCCATACGTGTCATGGCATATCGATATCCTTCTGATATTGGCAGTGGCCCAATATAGTCTATTTGCCACCTGACAAAGGGGTATTGGCTCTCTTATATTGTCCCATGTTTCTGTGGAACTCGGTGTAAGTCCCTGTTAGAACACACAAGGAACTCCTTGCAGGCTCTGCTAACTTCGTCAAAGGTCAATGGCAAGAGCCACCAGTGGGCTACAGCCCACACTGTCTTTCAACCTGCATACAACAATCGCTGGTGTAGCCATTGGGCCACATCAGAGGCAGGCTTTCCTTCTAGCCAGCACATCTGGGCCAATGTGTCTTCTTCATCATTCCCTGGGGATGCCAAAGGCAAATGGCCAGTCACATGATATACAGTAACAGTCTTAGTCTGACCAGAGGCCCATAGGTCTTGCCACAACTCTTGCCCCCAAAGGTGCTGGTCACCAACCACCCAGTTCTCATGATACAATGTCGGTAGCCACAGGATCAAGCCCCAGTAGATGGCCCAGCTGTCAGTCAGACAGCTATAGGGGAAGGCTCCTGGGTGATCACGAGCCATACTGCCTGCAACTCAGCCCATTGACTGCTCTTCCCCTCTCCATCCTCCATCCACATTGTCTCAGTCTTAGGATGAAAAGCAACAGCTCTCCGCTTCAGGGGCTTCCCATGACTGGAGCCGTCTGTATACCAAGCATCTTCAGGTATAGGGGCTTTTCCCTCCTGGTAAGGAGTCTCAGCTACCAATGGCTGAAAAGCAAGTCCTTTTTGCTTTCCACTGTTATAGGTCTCTGGCTCCAGTAAGTGTTGGAGTTCTCCACTTAAGGAGCTAGTAGAGAGGGCGCTGTGCTCCTGTAAATATACACCCCATTTGGACAGTGTAGGTGTCTGTGCCATGCCACTCCATGGCATTTGGGCCTAATCTTACATCCACCACACGATGGGATAGGTGGTTATTACCATGCTCAGAGCTGTTCCAGCAATGGGCTACATAGCCAGCAAGGCATAGTACACAGCAGCCAGTTTGCTTCTCTATCAAGGTGTACCAGACCTCTGCTCCTTTCCATAGTTGTGACCAGAATCCAATAGGTTTGTGTGTCCATTCAAGACACCATCTATAACCATCTTCGGTTACATGAACATCTAGTTCACAGGGCTTTGACGAGTCCATTACATTCAAGGCCTATATGGCCTTGACTGTCACTTGGCAGCAGTAAAAGCAGCTGCACATGTCTCATCCCAGTCCCACGTGATGCCCTTTTGTACCAAACAGAATAAGGGCTTCAGAATTTGTGCCAAGTGCAGAATAAACACTCTCCAGAAGCCCAAAAGACCCAAAAACGCTTGTAATAGAGCCACAGTGGTAGGGGTGGGGAAAAAGCCTGGACCTTGTCTGTAACTGCTTCAGAAACAACTTTAGTTTTACCGGACCAGACAACCCCCAAGAATTTCACAGACAAATCGGGTCCCTGAAACTTGGTGTTATTCACAGCCCATCCTTTTTCCTGTAGATGTTGCAACGGTCTAGGAACTGCCCCTTCTAAATCGTAAAGACAATCAGATATGAGCATAAGGTCATCAATGTAGTGATACAACCACACTGTTTGCGGTTTCGTCCATGTGGCCAAGTCCTGGGCTACAAGTCCATGACAGATGGTGGGACTGTGGAGATATCCTTGGGGAAGGACAGTGAATGTCCACTGCCAGCCTTCCCACATGAAGGCAAACTGTTCTTGGCTTTCCTGTGTTATGTCAATAGAAAAGAAAGCATTAGCAAGGTCAACTACATAATGACACATTCCCAGTTCATGGCTGAGGTTGTCCAGAATGTCTGCGATAGAGGGGACAGCAGCATGCAAAGGTGGTGTGACTTTATTCAATTTCCTGTACTCTACAGTCATATGCCAGGAGCCATCTGGCTTTCTCACTGGCCACACTGGGGAATTAAAAGGACTATGAGTGGGCTTTATGATGCCCACCTTATCCAACTCCTGTTGAGTTTTTCCAATTTGTGCCCCCCAAGCAATTTATACGGCTCACTATTTGTCACCCGCCGAGGTACAGGCAGAGCTGCAGGTGGGTGCTTAGCATGAGCCCTCAGAACTGCCTTTACCATACGTACCCTCAGCCCAAACTCACCTGTAGTGGTCTGTAACCACAGCCCCTGCAGGATAACTATCCCCCAAATATATTCATGGATGAGAGAAATATACACGGTATACTCCTTTGGGACTAAACACTCTATCCCCAATGAGATTTGGGCTTTTTTCACTGTAATTGCCTTCCTCCCCATAGCTATCTATCAGGGGTCCCAGGAAAATGCTCAGGGTTGCCATGAATCAGAGAACACTCAGCTCCTGTGTCCACCAGTGCCAGGGCACGTTGTACATTCACAGGGGACCAATGAATTGCTAATTGTACATGTGGCCTCTGGTCCCCACCATGTCCCTCAAGGTGGGGAGTTGACCCACTCCTCAGTTGAACCACGATGCTCAATCATCCTCCTGTGGGGGTGAGGGCTCAGGTGAATCCTGAGTACTGTCTCCCATGAAGTTTTGGTTTCTGTGTCCTGGACCTCAGCGGCTGGAACTCCTGCTCTGGCTTTAATTGGTGCCACAGTTCTAACTATATTTTATTGGGCTGCCCATTGAGTTTTTCTTTCACTGCCCTGGCCTTTATGGAATCAACCCACATCTGGGTCCTTGAGACCTTCATGGGGCATTTTGCACTTCTCCTTTCAGTCATGGCCTGTACTTCCTTCCATGCCCTTATTGTTTCAACCTCCCCCAGGTCTGCTAAAGTATGAGTAGCCTCCCTTATGGGTTCCCTTAGGTTGGGGGAAAGAGTATTCACTAGGGACCCAAGGAGAGATGTGGGAGCTATATGCAGCACCAGGTTTCTCATTCCTATAGTGAACACCTCCTCATCAGGGCCCTGGGCGTCCATATTATAGATGATGCTTTTCATACCCGCAGTACCTGTTGGAGCTCTGCATACATTTTCCAACTACTGGGAAAATATGGTAAATCACCCTGATTAGGCCAAACTATCCTGATAGTGATAGGGAAAATTTACAAGGACAGCAACCTAGCGGGTGGCTCCACTCTGTCTCACACCCCTCCCTCCTCAACATAAACAACTCTACAAGGACAGTAATTTAGGAGGTGGCTCCCGTCTGCCTCTCCCCCCTCCTCAACCCAAACAAAAAAAACACTCCCTTGGTTTCCCTGTGCTGCCCAGCACCAGGTCCCAAGGTTCACTCCCTAAAGTCACTCCCCCTTGCCTGCTCGCTTGCTGTGCATGTAGGAATGTTACAGATAAGGAAGCAGAAAGGTATAAATTGCTCCCTTTTCCTTTGTTGGGGGCTCAGACTTTTTGGGAGATTACTCCCCTCTGAGCCCGCTGGTATGAAATAAAGCCTCAACACTCCAAGACCTCCGAGTGCCACTTGTTTTTTTCCATCGGTGATCCAGTCCAGGCTATTTTTCTTCATTTTCCGTAACATTTGGTTCCCTGACCGGGAAACCCAACCGCGCTGGCCCTTTGTTGACACTGGTTTGCGGCAACAGCGGGATGGTGATGGAACAGATCACAACGGTGAAGGCGCGCCCTGCCTGACCTTTCAGCAGTCTCCCACCTGGTCGCCCTGGGCCAGCCACGCTCCACTGTTCCTGCTGGACTCAAGGAGGCTTGGCATGTGAAGACCTGGTTCCGACGTCGAATCCGGTAAGGCCCCCGGGGCACCTAACCCAGCCAGTCCCACCCATTGGGGTGAAAAGGGAGCCTGATCATCTCCCGGGAGGCTTATTAAAAGTCTCACAGGTAGACATTCCCAGGGGGGAAATGTTTAAACTCTGGTCTGCCTGGGTGTGTGTGTATGAGTGAGTGTGCTGGGCAGCTGAAGTCATTCAGTCTGCACTGAATCTATGATTTCACAGCCTGCAATAAGGAATCTGCGTGTGCCCTCATCCGCTTTCGCGGTCAGCCATCAGGGCATATCAATGATTCAGCTTTGGCTGACCTGGCCTGGAACTTATACAGGTGCACCTTAGCCAAGGCTGGCCAAAGTCTCGCGACAGGACGGGCATCTGACTGGTCTCCTTTCTAGATGAGGCACCCCTCCCTTGTCTGTTGTTGTGGCACTGTCCATGGATACATCATGGGGTCAGGACATAGTAAACCCACAGTTCTCGACACTATGATCAAGAATTTCAGAAAGAGATTTTCAGAAAACAACAGAGTAAAATTAGCTCTTGGCAGGTTGAAAACCCTGTGTGATGTAATAAGTATTGGACCATCCAGCTCAGCCAGTCCATGTTTTACTATCAACCCTTCTCCACAACTGAAACCCCATCAGAAAAGCCATAAGCCCTGGTTGATCTTATGTAACCCCTCTTCCAAATCAATCGGCCAACTTAAAAACTGTCAACAGCTTCTCAGTATCCTGTTCACAATAGGAAAGGAGAGGCAGCTGGGGTCCTTGGTCAGGGTGCATAGGCTGAAATTGCTGTCCCCGAGGAACACCCCAAGAGGGACTTCACCACCCCTGAGGGACAGCACCAGATCCACCGATATCAGGACGCCCTCTTCCAGGAGATCAAAGCTGGGACCAAAAAGCCTATGAACATGACTAAAGTTTTTTCAGTCACTCAACAACCAGAAGAATCTTCTAGAGACTATTATGAGAGACTGTGTGAAACTTATCGCATCTACACCCCTTTCAACTCTGAGTCACAAAGGAGCCAGCAGGTAGTAAACACCACATGCATAGCCCAAGCTGCCCCAGACATCAGATGAAAGCGCCAAAAGCTTGAGTGCTTCACTGAGATGACTGATATTGCCAAAAAAAAAAAATCTAAACAAAGAAGTTCAGGCCGACAGAGAGGAAAAAAAAAAAATTAGGCAAGTCTCCTGGCAGCTGCCCTGAAAGAGACGGATGGGCAGAAGGCAGAGAGAAGCCAGCCACCTAGAGGGGGGAAGCCCAGGAACCCCCTAGCCAGAGACCAGTGTGCTTACTGTGAAAAAAAAAAAGGTGGGGGAGGCATTGGAAGGATGAATGCCCCAAATAAGGCAAAGCCCCAAAGCCCAGTCGCTGCCAGGAAGAGCCCCGTGAGGAAAGGCTCATTAGCCTGGCAGGAGCAGACTGAGACTGACAAAGACTGGCCTCTCTTACACTTGGCCCCGTGAGCCCATGGTCAGAATGAAACTGAGGGGCCAAAACATGACTTTTATAGTTAACACAGGGGCATAACATTGTGGTCACCCTCCCTGTAGCCCTCTTCAGTGAAAAAGACTGCAACTATTCTCAGTGAAAGAGTACCTCACTGCGACCCTCCTTATCCAGGATGACTCAGGAGACACGGGCCCACGCAAGAGATTTTTTATCTGAAAGAGAAAGTGGCTGTCCCAGAGAGAGAGAGAGAGAGAGAGAGAGAGAGAGAGAGAGAGAGAGAGAGAAAGAGCAATGGGACAGAGAGACAGAGAGCAGAGAGAGCAGAGGTACAGAGAGACAGAGAGCAAGCAGCAGCATGGTGCAGAGAGTTATGCCTTTTATTGTAGTAAATCCCCTTGGCCTTGGCAGCTGGGGTCCTTGGTCAGGGTGCATAGGCTGAAATTGCTGTCCCCGAGGAACACCCCAAGAGGGACTTCACCACCCCTGAGGGACAGCACCAGATCCACCGATATCAGGACGCCCTCTTCCAGGAGATCAAAGCTGGGACCAAAAAGCCTATGAACATGACTAAAGTTTTTTCAGTCACTCAACAACCAGAAGAATCTTCTAGAGACTATTATGAGAGACTGTGTGAAACTTATCGCATCTACACCCCTTTCAACTCTGAGTCACAAAGGAGCCAGCAGGTAGTAAACACCACATGCATAGCCCAAGCTGCCCCAGACATCAGATGAAAGCGCCAAAAGCTTGAGTGCTTCACTGAGATGACTGATATTGCCAAAAAAAAAAAATCTAAACAAAGAAGTTCAGGCCGACAGAGAGGAAAAAAAAAAAATTAGGCAAGTCTCCTGGCAGCTGCCCTGAAAGAGACGGATGGGCAGAAGGCAGAGAGAAGCCAGCCACCTAGAGGGGGGAAGCCCAGGAACCCCCTAGCCAGAGACCAGTGTGCTTACTGTGAAAAAAAAAAAGGTGGGGGAGGCATTGGAAGGATGAATGCCCCAAATAAGGCAAAGCCCCAAAGCCCAGTCGCTGCCAGGAAGAGCCCCGTGAGGAAAGGCTCATTAGCCTGGCAGGAGCAGACTGAGACTGACAAAGACTGGCCTCTCTTACACTTGGCCCCGTGAGCCCATGGTCAGAATGAAACTGAGGGGCCAAAACATGACTTTTATAGTTAACACAGGGGCATAACATTGTGGTCACCCTCCCTGTAGCCCTCTTCAGTGAAAAAGACTGCAACTATTCTCAGTGAAAGAGTACCTCACTGCGACCCTCCTTATCCAGGATGACTCAGGAGACACGGGCCCACGCAAGAGATTTTTTATCTGAAAGAGAAAGTGGCTGCCCCAGAGAGAGAGAGAGAGAGAGAGAGAGAGAGAGAGAGAGAGAGAGAAAGAGCAATGGGACAGAGAGACAGAGAGCAGAGAGAGCAGAGGTACAGAGAGACAGAGAGCAAGCAGCAGCATGGTGCAGAGAGTTATGCCTTTTATTGTAGTAAATCCCCTTGGCCTGTTGCCTTGGGGATGGTTGGGATGTTTAGAGATAAGGTGGGGCAGGCCCAGGCATGATTCTCACAGGCTTATGTGCTTGAGACCATGGAGTAAATGAAAGATAAATTACTATATTCTACACTTGGAGCCACAAAGACAGTGGCAGTATCCCCTCTCACAAGAGGCGAGAGCAGGCATCCAAGAATGCTAATCAGACTCAGAGAGGCAGGCACCAGTGTCTCAGAGAGAAATCAAGGCAGAAAATTAATCTTTAGTATTCGAGGACCGCATGCCATCCTACACCTGTTACTAACCCTTGGGCCCTGTATTATCAACAGGCTGGTCCAGTTTGTCAGAGACCATGTGGAGGCTGTCCAACTGATAGTCCTCCATGCTCAATACAAGCCTCTAGTAATACTTTTACACCTGCTTACCTTTGAACCATGTATTCTCAATAGACTGATGACTTTTGTCAAAGATAAAATTAATACAGTCCAGCTAATGGTGCTAAGGCAACAGTATCAGCCTTTATCTCCTATCAACTGAAAGAGGTTCCGGGATCCCAGAGACCCCCAGGACTCCTGACCCAGAGGGACCCAGTGCTGGCTGGTGAGTGCACTCAGTTTTCTGTCTGTCTTTGTCTATCTGTGTCTCACTGTTTTTGTTCGCGAACAAGCCTGTATAAGCCTGTAGTAGCTCCAGTCTGTCTCAGGGTCGGCAGTGACTTAGGCAGACACGCTGGTGGGTCGTCGACCGGGGGTCTTGGGAGACATCCCTTGCCCCCATCTGGAGGACGAGGTCCTCATCTGTGAGGAAAGTCAACTGCCACTGCGGTCTGACAGGCCCTCAACTTACTTTCAGTTTTGCCTCTGCAGCCACGGCAGATTCTTCTCTGTAGGCGCCTGTTTGTTGTTAGTCATGTTTGTCTTAGTCTTGTTGTTGACAGAAGAAATGAGACAAATGCAAACGACCCCCTTGTCTCTCATGATAGACCATTTTCCAGACGTTAGGGAGAGAGTTCACAACCTGAGCACGGATGTCAGGAAGAGAAAATTTCGTGTTTTCTGCACCTCCGAGTGGCCATCCTTTAACGTTGGCTGACCGCTGGAGGGAACTTTGATCTAACCACTCCTTTACACGTTAAAGATATCAGAAGAGCTAACAACCTCAGTGTGGAAGTCAGGAAGGGTCGGTAGTAGACTTTTTGTTCTAGCGAGTAGCCAGCTTTCAATGTCAGATGGCTGCCAGAGGGAACCTTATTATGTCTGTCTGTATGTTTGTGTGTCTAAGTGTGTAAATGAAAATATCTTTCTACCTCCGGATGGTATTAATGAAATTGATTTAAAGACAAGCACTTGTGAAAATTGGGCATTCTAAAACTCCCAGAAAACTCTAATAGAAAATATTCAGCATTAATGCTAATTTAAGTTAAACTGAAACAGACATGTCCTTATAGTTATCAGCCGCCTAAGTTTATCTAAAGTCATTTAAATTGATGTTATCTGCTAAATCTTTCAAGAATAAAATGCTTAGAGGCTTGACTTTGTCTAATATTCAGTAAAGGTTTTGTAAGTAACCTAGCATAGTTGTTAGGAATGAGTGAACTAAATAAGTGTGGCAAATGAACACTTTAATAATTGTGTGTAACAGTGTGTATACCTACCTACAGCCTGAGAATCTTTGTACCTACAGCCTGAGAGTTTTAGTAACCTAAAACCTTAAAGTTTTGCTAAGTTAAAAAGACATACTTTATGCTAAGTGAGAAGTTGTGCTGTAAAGCTCATGGTTACAGAAATTATAAAATGTATTCATAAATTTGTCAATCTAAAAAATGTTAGCTTGTCTACAATAGCCTACTTCTCAGTGTTCACTGAAATTTAAAGTTCCTAATGGTTCAAGTTCTAACTAAAACTACTTAAAGTAATAAGGAAAGCATTTCCCTATGCAAAAAAATGTATGTTTTAATAAGAGAAGGTATAAAGAATGGAAATTCATTCTGCATGCTAAAGAATGTGTCTTTTGATAAAAGAAAGTAACTGTTCTAAAGTACAGCTGTTTATTTAGAGGGAGGGAAAAATCTAAATGTAAAAAGAAAGTTGTAGAAAGTTTTAGAAGAATTTAATATAGTCATGCTATATAAAATTAAAGCAAATAAGTCTCAGTATCAAGTACACAGCAAAATTAAAATTTTGTTTTCAGTTAAAAAGACAGTCTTCTTAACTGTTAGTCTGCTCTTAATATTGAAAGATTGCAAAGAGTTCTCTAATTGTTTTATCAAAGCAGTTTCTCATGCTTAAAGTCTCAATGAGTTGTCGGAGTATTAAAAAAATGAGATCTTAATATTAAAAAGACTAAAAGCTGAAGTTTGCTAACAACTGTGTAACCTTTAGTTATATAAGATTAAGTAAACTAAAGATGATGTTGTGTCTTTTTGTCTCAAATGTTGCTAATAAAGTATTTTAAGCTTTTTCTCTTAAGCTGACAACAGTTTAGTAAATGACCATCTTTATAAGCATAATTGAAACATTTATCTTTCTCCCTACCTAATCCCTCCAGAATTTAAAAACTTTCAGTGACTATTTTTATATTTCATGGCAGTATGTTTATTTGCGTAAGTTCAATAAGAATCTGCTTTCCTTGTAAGAAGACCAATTAAGACCACTGGTTATACTACCAAGGCTTTGACTAGAATGTTATACCTGAGAAGCATGTGCATAAACTCAGATATGAACAGCTTTAAGGAACTAAGGTTGACTTTATAAAGCCAACAAAGCCCCTCAGAAGAACTGCCCTGGTACCTTGTTTATGGGGTTCCCAGCAGCCTTACCAGGTGAGTAAAGAAGGTCACTTCCTGGCAAGTGCAGGAACCTCAGGATGTCTTGGGGACCTTGAGAAGAGAAGAATTCACCCAAATCTACAGGTACTGCAGGCACAACCTGATGGCAAGTCTGGCTTGGCCTCAGGAAGCCTTTAAAAGTTCAATCTGAAATTCCTTATAAAAAGTTCCAGCAAAGCATATTTAAAAGAGCCTATGTAATCAATTGCTTTTCTTGCTGCACTTATGCAAATAATTAAGCCAAGTGTTATTTTCTTAACCTGGTTACTTCTAAAAAAATGAGGGTGATTTTAGAGAAAAATATTGTTTCAATAATGCAGTCTTATCTATACTAAATCCAATACTAGTCATTGAGATGTAAACTTGATCCAGAATTCTAGTTTCCCCACGGTACCTGGCTATGACTCTCTATTAGACTCTTCATATTTCTAGTTCTCATATTCAGCCATGCATTCTTAATCTTGTCAGGTTTGTCCTTCCAGAATAGAAAATCCAACTCCAGATATTGCTACTTAATAATATGATTTATTCTATCTCACCTAGAAACCACAAAACTGCAAATAGTAATAGAAATGAAACCCAGAATAGAAGCGCCAATCTTCTGAGGCCCTCTCAACTGACCAGTGATGGAGACCTAACTGCACCCAGTACTGCGCCCCCTCTCAGCATGAAGCAGTCAGAGCGGTCATCACCCCTTTTCCCTAGCAGCAGCTAAGGTCTCTATCTGTAGAGGGGAGAATGAGACAAGGACCATAGGCTTAGACAGAATAAGGTCGCAGGCATCACTCCAAGAGTCCATCATTCCAGAGTGAAAAAAAGCCTGTCATCCTATTAAAGAAGCACATTAGCAGGAGGCCCAGCCAGACCTCCATATCCTCTCTGCCTCCACATCTGACAATTGCCCTCTGACTAATGGACACCTGCGTGCCGTAGATCCTGGCTCTTGTTGGAGTAGTGTCTTTTATTCTGGGCATTGGACTCTATGCTGTTGCACCCCTGGACTGGACTATTCCTCAAAAAAAGTTGCCCTTTCTATTGTCTATTGGGTAATCGTTAAATTGTTTTACTGTGCTTACCTGTCTCTCCTAGCTGGACCCAAGTCTCAGCCTGCATTTCCAAAGTACCTCTCTGTAATGTTTAATTGTATAAAAGTTATAAAGTGAGAGTGGGCTAAAGGGAGCTACCTCCTTTCCCCCAGTAAGATTTCCTAGGCAGAACAAGCTGCCCCTTTACTGATCCCTGCTCTAGTTGGGCTCATTAGAGCTGGATCAGCTGCAGTAGACACAGCAGCTCTAATAAAGAAACTCAGGGCTTGATGCCCTAACAGAGGAAGCTGATCAAGATTTAGAGCAGCTTGAAACCACCATGATTCAGCTGCAAGATCAGACTGATTCCCTGGCTAAAGTAATGTTGCAAGATTGTGAAGACTAGACCTCCTGTTCATGTCACAGGAAAGCTTATGTATAGCCCTGAAAAAAGATTGTTGTGAGTTATCTAGCCAAAGTTAAAGAAAACATCCAGCATAGAAATAAAATGCTTGAAAATAAAAGGTCTTAGTTACAGAGATGGTTTGAATAGAATCCATGGCTAACAACTCTTCTAACTGACCTTGCTGGGCCAGCAATTCTGCTGTTCCTTAAACTATTAATGAAACCCTGTATATTTAATTGGCTCATTAACTTTATGGAGGAATGCGTTTCCTCCATACAGCTCATGTATATGCGGAGCCACTATGACCCTATCATAAGCCAAAGAGATGATGCCCCCTAGGTGTTTGAAGGGGCATCAGAGGGGGGAATCAGGGAAAATTTACAAGGACAGCAACCTAATGGGTGGCTCCACTCTGTCTCACACCCCTCCCTCCTCAACATAAACAACACTACAAGGACAGTAATTTATGAGGTGGCTCCCCTCTGCCTTGCCCCCCTCCTCAACCCAAACAAAAAAAAAACACTCCCTTGGTTTCCCTGTGCTGCCCAGCACCAGGTCCCAAGGTTCACTCCCTAAAGTCACTCCCCCTTGCCTGCTCGCTTGCTGTGCATGTAGGAATGTTACAGATAAGGAAGCAGAAAGGTATAAATTGCTCCCTTTTCTTTTGTTCGGGGCTCAGACTTTTTGGGAGATTACTCCCCTCTGAGCCCGCTGGTGTGAAATAAAGCCTCAACACGCCAAGACCTCTGAGTGCCCCTTGGATTTTTCTGTCAGTGATCCAGTCCAGGCTTTTTTTTTTTTCAGTATTTTACGTAACAATGGCAGCCATAAGCCATTCCAAGAGTGTCTGATTCCCTGAGGTGTGACAGGCATTTTGCAACTGCTGCTGGAGGGAAGGGTGAGTCATCAGGGAAGCCATTCTACTCATTTCAGTACCAGACATAACAATGTTTTCCACCCCCATATCCCAGAGATGTAAAAGCCATGTAGGAAGAGGGCCTCTGCCTATACCAGACACTCAATGTCCACCAGCTCATCCTGGGTATAGGGGCGGAGCATGGAGTGCTCCACAACATGGGGAGGAGGCTGCTCATCCCCCTGAGGAGCCCACGGTTGTTTCATTTTTATTTTCTTAATTACAGCTGGGCGGGCCTTTAAAATGAGAAAATGGTACCTCCTGCAGTGGCCTGGGTAGCAGAATTGCCAATGGCCCTGCGACCTCTTCTCCCTCGGGCTTCTCCACCAATGGCTCTTCCTCCATTTCCAGTGCTGAAGGCACGGCTCTTTCCTCCCGCTCCCCTACAGCCTCCTGCCATGGGGCTTTTCCTGCTGTCTCCCCTTTGCCGCTAAGGAGTCTTCTAGGAGTATGACCTGTGTTTTCATTAACTGTCTTTCTTCTTTAACAGCATCCCATAGGTTATCGCTCAGCATCTCCAAGTGGTGAAGTGTGTCTCTGACCCATCTAAGTCCCTCTCTCTCCTCTCTAACCCTCTTGATAATCCTTTCTCCGGTATAACATTTTCCACTATCTCGATGAAAAGAGACCCTACAACGCCAGCTGCTACATGGTCCCAAGGTCTCCAAGCAGTCTTCCAACTCACGGAGGGCTAATTCTGCAGCTTCTGGTGTTTCCACCCTTCCCCAGTTCTGGGGAAAGCCCCACTCCTCTAGGAGGTACTTTACCCTAGACCAATTCCCCACTAGGGATTCCCCAGTTGTAAAACCCTACAGCTGGGGGGATAATAAAAGGTGAAGTGGCACAGCACCCTCTGCCACTGCATGCACTAGGGCCTCCCTATCATTCACAGGAGCAGCCCTCCCAAAGATGGCACCCATTATGACATTTAAAATTGGGTTCAGAGGCACCCTGCTGACTGCCACCAGATATAAGTCTGGGGAGAGGAAATCCCAGAGCAAAATACCTCAAAAAAAGAAATCAGTCAATGGGACAAATGAAGTTTAAAACCTGTTTATTGCTTACAAACTGCAGTCCAGGGTCATCCTCCTCTGCTCTGCAAGCCAGCCAGCCAGCAAGCAAGCAAGTCCCTCCCTTTAGACTCTCAGGTTCAGACACACCCTCAGTTGCCCAGATAATTACTCACTGATACAGAGATGAACTTCTCTCCACCCCTGAGGATATGCAAATGCACTAAGGCCAGGTGAGATATTCTGGAAATTTTACAATTTTACCCACACCTTCAAAAGTTAATAAATACATGTATAATATAGCCACATAATAGATAAATATAATGGATCAAGAAGAAATACATGATACAAAGCTCTTATTTAAAGGTATTAAATGAAAAGATATATTCATAGAAAAGAAATATTGAATAGCATAAAGATGTCAGTTCTTTGAAAACTGGTATAATTATTCAAGGTAGTTCCAGTCAAAATCCTACTGTTAGTTTTGGAATTTGGAAACTAATTCTGATATTTGTTTGAAAATCAAAGTGGTAAAAAACAAAAATAAACCGCCATGAAACTGCTGAACAGCCAGAACATAATTTAGTGATTAAAAAAAAGAAAACCTCATATGACTATTCTACTGAGCACTATAGACAGGGGTGGACATATCTACCAACTGAATTAGTTAGAAATCCAAGAATGACATCTAATTTTTTGTTAAAACTTTTACAAAAGAGAAAAGTGAGATTCCAAGTTAGTGAGGAAAAAATAGGCTGGTTCAAAAATTTATCACAGCAGCTGGTTATCGAAAGAAAAGAAAACACCACTAAATGTAAAAGGAAGACCACTAAGACCTTTTAGAAGATTGGAATATTGGGATAGAGGCGTTGTGTATTTTCCTCGGTTCTTGTCCCCACTGCGACAAAGAATTGAAGGGCAGAGACACAGTAGTAAAGAAGAGTAAAAGTTTTATTTAAAGTTGGTTAGAGAGAAAGAAGTGGAGGTGACCTCAGAGAGAGGGGAGCACCCTGAAACGTTGGGAAAAAAAGTTACGCACTTAGAAAGTGCTGGTGACTTGAGAGAGAGGAGTGCCCTGAAAGGTTGGGAGTTTCCCCTTTTAAAGATTTTTCAGGAATGTGACAAAGGGATAGGGTGCAGGCTTGTTAAGTGGTCTCAAGTATAGTTGATGAGACATTAAGTTTCTTATCAGTCAGCCCTATCCATCACCTCCCTGCTTCAGAGCCACAGACAAGGGAGGAGACGCCATGAGTTATCAAAGACCCAAAAGGGCCAGCCAGGGGACTCAAGGCCTAACAGCTCAAGAGCAATGCCCAGAAGGCATTTCTTGTATTTATTGAATAAATGAACTTACAGTGAACTCAAACATCATTATCTGGACTTGAGTCTAGCCCAAGGACATGAAGCTGTTAGGCTGCAGGCATCAGGGGAAGGGGTGAGCCTGATGGACAAGCCCAGGCCTCACCAAAGGAGGCAAAGAGACCCAACAGGTTCCGGTCTGACAACATTCCAGAGCCTGATGGGATAACCCTCCCAACTAGAGCCCTTCCCCCAAGCTAAAGAATTAGTGGTAACTTTGCAGTACCTGGCTAAAGGCCAGTGAGAGACCCTCACGTACCCTAGATGAGCCAATCCTCACACCAATGTACACCCTTGCTCTCCCTCCCTGCCTTCTTTAAAAACTTGCTGCCTGCCCTGCTGGGTGTGACTTCTCTAGCCTGTAGTACCCAGGCCGCGGGAGCATCACCCTGGGGTGGCATTCAAATAAACTACCTGGCCCTTTGTTGCCTCTCTTTGCCTGCTTACTTCGGTCGAAATTTATTGAAATTTATCTTACATATGGTGCCAAAAAACCCAGGAAGGAGTGTGAGCGCGGAGCCCAGACCAGCCACTGGTGGCTCCGCCCCCTCCTTCCCCGACCCGGGACCTCAGACTGCTCTCCACTGCATGGACTATTTTCTGGTGAGTTCTTCAGTTTCCCCCAGTCTGTTTCCCTTCCTAACTCTGTTTCACCT